AGAACCTAAAGGTCAGTGAGTTAGCCACTTGTCCATAGTCACCCAACAGGGGTGAATTTGAAGACTCTGTGCTCAGCCTTCCAGCTGCAGGGAAAATGGAACCCTGGAGCTGGGAAGGGACAGGCTCACTGGGACATAGCTGGGGGATCATGTGATGGGGGAAGCTTGAGCAGGGCTCCAGGTCAGGTGGGTCTCTCCAGGTCACAAATTCCCCCAGGTGGGATGGACCCCCAGCCCTGCCTCACTTCCCACCAAGTCCCAAAGCCCACAGGGAAACCACACACCCAGTGCCAGCCTCAAAGACCCCCGGCTTCCCAGGCAGCCCCAAGCCCGTTTCTAAAGGCTCTCTCCTTCCCTGACACAACCCCCTCTATGGGGCCTCCTGGGACATGGGTCTCACAGGTGTACAGTCCCAGTCAAGTTCTGGGGTCAAAGGGCACATCCACAGGGCCTGTGGCTGGCAGGAGACAAGCCCAGAGGTACTTCCTCTAGCCAGTGCAGCCATTCCCACCTGGGCTGTACCTGTTGGTGGGACAAAGTCCAGATCCCAGACCTCTGCCTGGTGGTGACCCCTGCCTGGTACTAACCAGGTCACTCAAGATGCTTGCATCTGGTGAAGTGACCATCCATCAGGCAGGAGGTAACTCCCAGCCACCTGCATGCCTGCCTCCCTGGACCCACTCCCAGCACATTTCTGTCCTTCCCTCTAACTCTGGCCCTTGGAGGCATGAGGGCTGGAGCCCCCAGGGGCTCAAGGGTAGCCAGTCTTACAGTCTCCATCTCCTGCTTTCCAGGGTAGGCCCTCGCAGTTCAGAGAGGGCAGGTGCTTCCCCAGGGAAAAAAGCGATGCATGCCCACACTGGGAGGTCTTTCTGCTTCCTGTCAGGCAGGCTGAATACCAAGGGGCAGGAAAGGGAGGGACCATGTCTGATAGGAGCAGCCTCTCTCAGGCTCTACCCGAGGGGCTCTGGGCATGGTGGGGAGGGGGCAGGACACCATTTTGGAGCACAGTGTGTCTGGGTCCTGATGTGGTGGGCCCTAGATGGATGAGAAATGTCACAGGAGGGGCTGGTTTGGCAAACCTGGCAAGTCTTGAATGCCACGCTAAGAAAAGGGAACTCAGAGCACTGGGGAGGCACGGCGGTTTGGGAACTGAGGAGTCACATGCCACGACTGGAAGCTGGGCAGTAAGCAGCCTCAAGCTGTGTTTTCTAAAGAGGGTCTGTGCTTGGTGGCACCAGGGAGAGAACAGGACCCGAGATACCACGGAGAGAGGCACTGGGTGGCAGAGTGGCCCCCAATGTGTTCTCTCCCCCAGTGCTGAACCAGAAAACAGCCAGACACCTGGGCTGGAGCCTGGGAGGCAAGGACCACTGTAGGTGACGTAGGTACCTTGGGAGGGACCCAGGGCCAGAAGAGGGCCAGGAAAGCACTGTCCAGGTGGGGTGGGGCAGAGAAGGGAAGGGTAGGTGAGACCCCAGGGGCCCCCCAGCCCAGCCATGCCCTTGTGATGTGGGGATCCCCCACCAGAACTTCAGCTCCCATTTGCCTATTCTGCACTTGGAGCCACATGCAAGATCTGCTTAACTAAATCAGGAGAAAGTGAAGACAGCCAGAGGCTTAACAATAACCCCCAGCACGCACACAGGACTGCTCTCCTGTTCTTTCCGCCACAGCCACAGGACCCCAGAGCACAGAGGAGCAAAAGGAGGCTCCTGGAGAAGACGGAACTCATGGCAGTCAGGGTGCACCGCAGCCAGGGAAGTGCCTTCACCCACAGATCCAAGGACTCGAGGTGGCAGATCCACCCTAAAACCTGGGCACATGACAGGGGGCTGGCCAAGGCAGGCGGCAGGGCTGGGTGGGGCTCAAAGCCCTTGGCAGGCTCCCTAGTGCCAGTCCTCAGTCTCATGATTCAAAGGCTGCTCTGGGCTGGGAAGGGGAGATGGCCGCATGGCTTCTGATGCGCTCCATGACCCACTCCAGGCCCCCAGAGCTTCACAGGGAGCAGCCCCCTGGGTTCCCTGCTTTATTTCTCACCACACCTATGCCTCTCTCAGGAGCCCAGGGTTAAAAGCATGGGCTCTGAAGCCCACAACCTGGGTTTGAATCCTGACTCTTGTCATGTTCTGGCTGTATGACCTTGAACAAGTCATTTAACCTCTCTGTGACCCAAGGCACTCATCTGTAAAGTGAAGATCATAAGGCTATCACTTGGGATTGTCAGGGACTCAGTGGTCAGCACAGTGCCTGGCATACAGTAAGTGCTCAATTAGTGCTCCTAGTCATGCTATGATCCTCCACCCCAGCTACCAAGAGGGAAATTCTGACACCCAAGTGTTGCATTGCCCTCCTCTGACCCAAGACTCCCCACTACCTCCAGGATCCAGTCCAGCTCCCCATTCTGGCACTGGAGGCTGTCCTGGCCCACCTCTCAAACCTTGTTCCTCTCAGGAGACCTGGACACCTTCAGGTGCTCTCCCCACCCACAAGTCTTTTCTCTCTAGACCTTCTCGAGCCTGCCCAGCTCCAAGGGCCTCAGACTATGGAACTAACAAGTATTCATCCAGGCAAAGACTGGTCGTGGGGTGTCCATTGCAGCACAACTTATGAAAATAAAACAACCTAGATGTGCATCCCTGGGGAACCAGGTAAACAAACCAGGAAACCTAATTGTGGTTTGCCTGCTGCCAAGCAATAAAGCCCGTTAGTCTGCTATGAGCCAGTAGGCGATACTCTGATTTATAAAAGCCTAGATCAGTGGTTGCCTGGGGCAAGGGGTTGGCTGGGAGCAGCTGTCAACAGCCCTGAGGATCTTACTGGGGTGATGATCACATAACCTGGTAAATTTATTAAAAATTCATTGAACTGTACCCTTAAAATAGGTAAATCTTATGGTAGCCAAGTTATATCTTAAAGTTTTTAAAAAGTGAATGACAAATGTGTATCCATTCCAAAAACATATGTACGTACACACACACAAGAAATAACCCCCACATAAATTAACAGGGCATATCTCTGGGTAGGTGACTTTAAGAAAGATTTTATTTTCTTCTCTTTGTTCACCTAAGCTAATTTTTCTGCAATGCGAAGACTAGCTGTGTAACTGGAGAAAGAACAGAAAGTTCATGCCCACCCTAGCAAGAGGCATCAACTGCCCCCTTTCTCTACCAGATGAGAGCTGGGGCCTAGTCTGATCTCCAATTGTCTCCACCCCTAATAGCTACTCAAATCTGGCCTTTGGGCTCTTGGGAGATGTTTCAGTGGGAAAGGTCTGTGCCAGACCTGTGGTCCTGACATACCTACTCTGATTTGATTATCCTACCTCCTGGGATGGGAAGCATTAGCAGCCAGAGGGGGAAATGACACTCAGAGGGTGGGAGGGCTTGGGCAGGAGGGCGTGAGTAGGGTCCTGACTCCACAGCCCAGGTCCTTGCCTTGTGGCACCCACTGGGCCCAGGATTTATGGAGGTGGTCACTGAGTCAGGCTTGGATCTCCCCGGGATCTTGGGTTTGGGGTTTGTCACTCCAGGATGCAGTGATGGGGAAGGCTGTTTCGGAAAGCCCCACCATCAGGATCTCTCCTCTCAGGCCCTCCACTACCCTAGCTTGGCCCTGGGGGAAGGCCAGCTGGTGAGGCCCCACGCCGGCAGCCAACTGGGCTGATCTTCAAGGCTGCATTAGGGCAGGAGTGGGTGGCTTAGCCGTGTCTGTTTTGCTAACCCCAAGACATGTCCATCCAGGCTGTGGGAGGTTTAAGTCCTGTGCTCTTGGCTTCCCTATCAACCAAGAGCAGCTTAGCAATGTTGCTCAAACTGCAGAGTGATTAGGGAGAGCAATCAGCTTCAGTTTGTGGTCTACAAAGTGGAGCAACAGCTGCACCCACGTCCCCACTCCCTTCTGTGTAACAGCCAGAGTGATACTTGAAAAAGTGTTAAGTAAGCAGGGCCACTGCTCCACTCCATTCCTTTCCCTTGCCCACAAGGGATTCCCCTTTTGCCTACCTTCCTCGCCCCACCGCCTGTGTATTCCTCTAAGTCCTCACACTCTGGTTTGCCTTTGCTGTGCCCTTGGCTGGGAAAACATCAGAGCTGACTCTCATATCTCGGCTCAAAAGTCGGCTCAGAGCAGTCTCGCGCCACGGCTCTACCCAGAGGAGCCCCACCACTGCCCCACACCAAGGTGCAACTACATATCCACTGGCGGGTTTCCTTGGGGATTTTTGTGCTCCCCAAAAAGGAGGAGAAAACACGAAAGCCTTTTCATCAGGGAAGTTAGCATAGATGTCAATTTCCTTTTCCTGTTTCCTTCTGCCTCATGTTTTTTGGCAGATGCACTTTTAGGTCTTCCCCTTCCTCGTTGGTATGATCTGAATGGCTTCGAGACCTGTTTTCCAGATCTGAGAACCTCCGAGAACCTCCAGGGTCTAGGACGGCGCCTGGTTTTCAGTAGATGCTCAATAAACGTGTGCCGAAGCGACGCCGGGTTCAGACTAGGGGAGCTGGCCTCTGGGGTGGGCGTGCGGAGGGGAGGGATGGGGGCGGGGCGCGCGGAAGTGCCGCGCGCCTGCGCAGGAAGTCCTGAGTCGAGCTGAACTCTCCGGCCGGAGGGAATGACCGTGAATAACCCCGTGCTGACGTCACGGCTGCAGCTGGGGCCGGCCTCGGCGACGCCCAGGTCCCAAGCTCTACCCGTTGCCTCCACGGGGCCGAGGACTCACTGGTCGCTCGGTGCGGGGCCCGGGGCGTCCGGAGGCGCACGTACCAGGTCCCTAGCCCCCAAGGGACCCGGCGCGGTGCGGCCCCAGACGCCAAGGCGGGCGCGGAGAGGCTCCGCGTGGACCGGACAACCGGGCCCTCGGCACGAAGCCCAAAGACGCGGTAAACCCCGCGCACACGGCACAGCCAGCACCGCACCCACGCCCCGCGCAGGCCGGGGAGACAAAACAGGAGCGCCGCCTGCGCGCCCGACTCGCGCGAAGCTCAGCAGCCCTGACGCACCTTCGATGTCAGTCAGCAGCGCCGCGTCCAGCTCGCAGGGCTCGCCCAGAGCCTGCTCCAAGGCCGCCTCGCAGAAGGTCGGCTCGTCCATGGCGCAGTCGCCTCCTCCGGGCGGCCCTCCGCACCCGCCGCCGCCGCGCACGGACTATCGCAGCGAGCGCTGCCTCCGCCGGTTCCGGCCTGCTGTCGCCGCCGCTCCGCGAGTTCCCGCACTACCTCGGTGGCCGCCCGGCGCCCGCGAAAAGTTCCTCGGAAACTGGGCTCCTCGGCCGCGGCTCTGCCGGGTGGGCGGGGCGGGGCGGGGTCCTGCACGAGAGGCCCCGCCCCACTTAAAGAGAGCACGGACCTGGCTCGAGGGTCTACCCCTCCGTCAGAGCGCCCTTCCGGCATTCATTTCACCCAGCGTCAAGCACAGCAACCTCTGGCTGACAGCTGCGGCAGCTCGAGCAGGCCATGGCCCCTCCCTGGGCCTCAGGTTCTCCAGCACTAAGCAAAGGGGTCTCAGTGGAAGAACCAAGACTGGGCCCCAGTGGTCTCTGGATTTGTGGGTCGAGTGAGGGATGTGCGGGTCCCGATTAACCTCATTTTCTAGATTTGGCTCTTTAGAACAAGACAGACCCATCCAAATTATGGCTATAAGACCTGCTATGTGGCCTTGGGCCAACACTGTGCCTCAGTTTCCTCAGATGTAACTGGGGCTTGATGCTATTTCTCCATAGACTGGCTGGGATATTAGTGATGTCATGGAGGGCGGCTGCACCTGAGATCAGCCTGTCCCTCCTCAGTGTTTTCAGATCATATTGGCCTGAGGAGGGAGTGGCTGAAGGAAAGCCTGGAAGAGGCTGGAATTTCCCATCCTGACCTAATCTGATTTCCTACATATCCAGCTGTGGGCATGGCAGAGGGGCTTGGGACCAGTGGGACTCTGAAGACAGGTTGGCCTCAGTACCCAGAAGGACAGGAAGACCCAGAGAGTTCTAAGGAGCCAACCTGCCCAAAGTCACACAGCTTCTCTGAGCCAGCAAGGCCCCAGGGCTATCTGACACCAAATTTGGTGCTTGTCCCTGGGAACAGCTGGGATGCGGGGCACAAGGAAGAGGTAGATTGTGCTTTAGACCTGAGCCAGGTTGCCCTGGCTCATGACAGGCTAGGGCTGGTCAGGGGAGGCAGTTTGACTGGGGAGAGGTCTGGAGACTGATACCTGGGCCCTGCGGATTGGGGACAGAACTAGGTGTTAGGGGAGGAGACCCAGTGAGGTGGGTTAAGATAAACCAGAAATAATAATCAGGTATCTGAAAGTGGAGACAGTGAACTCCCTGTCCCTGGAGGTGTACAAGCAGAGAAACTGAGGGGAGGGCAGGCAGCCAAGGAGACTTATCAGAGATCTGGACTCCCGCCCCTGGGCCCTCCCAGCCCCCAACCCCAGCGAGTCAGGCCATCTGGAATACTGCCTTGCTCAAACTCCAGATATAGCCTGTCTGTCCACGCCCTCTGAGGCAGTGAAATCAGTAGCGCATTTTAGAAGGGGTGCAGAAGCCAAGACAGGCTTTGGAGGTCCAAGTCCCTGGGGCTCAGCGTGGACATGCAGTCTTTGTTCCCCTCCTGGAAGTAGATGTTGTGGAAAATTACTCAGAACACGGCGTCCAGGAGCTGTGGGGGTCTCCAAACAGCATTTCCCCCTACAAGAAACTTTAAGGATTCACCAAGGCCTGGCCCCTCTAGATGAACTTCTGCTGGGGAACAGAAGGATCTGGCTTCTCCTCAGCCATCTTGCCTTTTCATCCTGACACCCCCTAGACCCCCACCACCCCAAATAGGAGCCAAACACCCAGGAGACCTTGGGAATCTGGTGACTTCCTGAAAATTCTAACAGCTCTTCAGGGAGAGGAGTAGGGGGGTGGGGTGGGGCTCGAGTAAAGCCTAAACACCACTTTCTTCAGAGTCAGGAAACTGGTCTAGTTTTCCACCTGTTTGCTGTGGGACCTGGAACCACTTATGTCACCTTTCTGAGTCTCAGCTATTGGATCTGTAAGAGTAACTCTTCTGCAGTCATTCTGCAGAGGCAGGTAAGATGTGCTGGAGTCATTGTCACAACAAACCTACCTCACTGTTCTTTAAATGAGTTTACCGCATATGTAAAGAGCATTACTCGATAAATATGCACACCACAACTTCAGGAGTTTGGGGAAAGAAGGTAGTAAGGCAAGGTCAACAGGAGACCTGCAGCCCAAACTGGAAAGCTGAAGCTAAAGCCTGGCTGAAACCCCTCAGGACTGGGGGCTGGGGGCGGGGTTGCTTTCTATTTTTGCCACCAAAGAGACAAAACTTTGCTCCACAGCCTGAGATTGCCAGGGCAATCCTCAAGGGAAGGGTGGGGAGAACCAGACTGGGGGCTGTGTATCTTCAGAGAAACCTGCTTCTCTTGGTGGCTCCTCCCCATTGAAGATCACATGACCCCTCCCCCTCAACAATCCCCAGGCCTCTCTGGGCTGGGGATACTTTAGCTTACACAGCAAGTGTGCAGGGAACTGAGGGGCACAAGCTAGTGGTTGTGGGGCCCTCTGTCCTGGTGCGCCTAGGAGAGGCAGGGGTCCAAGCCTGACCCACAGTGGTGCGGTTGCTGTGTCTACACTGGCTACAATTATTGAGTGCTTATCCGTATTACCCATTAAGTCCTAGCGACAGTTCTAGAGGACTGGGCTGTTATTCCCACTTTATAGATGAGCAAACTGAAGCACGGGAGGTGACGCGACTTGCCCAGGGCCTCCCAGCGCTGTTGCACAGGGTTCCGTCAGGGTCGAGCAGTCTGCAGAGCTGGGATGGCGCCTCACCAGGCCGGGGCAGGGCGGCGGCTGAGACCCGGAGGAGTTGGGGCGCCGAGCCAGACAGGCCCCGCCCCTGCGGGCCGCAGCGCAGCCAATGGGCGCCCGCCCTGGAGTGGGGTGACGTGGCGTCAGCGCGGAGCTCCCGGAGCCGGGCCCTGGGTCAAGTGCGCCGCGCCTGGTGGACCCTGGGGTAGGGAGGCGCCGAGGTGTGGGGGGGGTAGGGTCCAGGCTGCCGGGGCCGGCTGGGCCTGCTCTGTCACCCGCACTCCAGGCCAGACACTCGGTTGGGGCTGCTGCCAGGTGTGCGTCCGGACACCGGTGGGGCTGGCCTGGCGTGAGCACCTTCATCTCAGAATACAAGCAGGGCCTCTTCAGAGCTCCCTAGAGCCTAGGGAGGCAACTGGCCAAAGGGAGTTGGGCACAGCGCCGAGAGCCTGTGATTGCGTCAGGTTCACCCACCCTGGCCCCTGCCCAGCCCCGGTTTTGCCAACTGTGAGACAGGAGTTTGCATCTCCCCTCATCTTTCCCTGGGTGTCTTAGAGGCTGAGAAGCATTTTCAGTGGGTTCTGAGCCATTTGGGGCAGGTGTCCAGCGCAGGCAGGGTCTCTGCCAAGACCGCTTGTCAAGCCAAGCCATGTCTCAGTGCCCAAGCTCAAGGGTGGGTCAAGGGGAAGGAACCAGGGTCCTGGGCATTACCTAAGAGGCTACTGAGACCTCTCCCCACACTCCTGGAGTCCCATTGCCACTCTGCCCGACCCCATTTATCCTTCATTTCTGTAGTAGCTAAGCTGGGACCTACCTAGGCTACAACCAAAGGGACCAGGCAGCACATGCCAGCCAGGAGCCCTGGTCCTCTTCTCCCCAGATTTCTGCATCTGGACATAATGGAACCAGATGGCCATTGACATGAATGATTCTGGTTCTAGGTGACCCAGTATTCTCATTCCAGGTTGGCCTCTGTTGTGTGCTGGGCAAGTTCTTTTTAGCCCTCTCTGAGCCTCTGGGTCAGCTTTGTACGGAGAGGCTCATTGATGGTGGTCAACTCCAGGGTCATCAGTGAGTCATTCAACAGATCCTCCACAAAAGAGCTGACTGAACCCCAAAGTCTGTTGCACAGGGAGGGGTGAGGCTCACAGGCATGAAGAATGAGGGGGGATGCCTCTTCTGAGGATCTAACTGGCTATCTGGGCAAGGCCAGGTGTAGGTAGATTATGGGGGAGTCACAGCATGGAGTGGGTTGAGTTGGTGGCAAGGAGAGGGAATGGGCCCCCGGCCGGCATCTGACCCCCACAGGCCAAATCCAGCTATGCTTGAGTTCTGATTTTGAATTAATTATCACATGTAGAAGGTTCACCTGAAAGTTGGATTTCTGGCTTTTCTTGAAAAATGGGACTGTTGAGCAACACTGGGCTCAATAACTAGATGTTTCTTAAGTCAGGGCTGTGAGCTTCCCCACAGTCCCCATCAGTCCCATCACACCTAGACCATTTCATTCACACATGAGTATAATACAAAGTCCCTGAGGCATTGGGTTTACCACCCATGATCCCATTTTACAGATCAGGAGAGTAAAGACTAGAGAGGGCCAATGACTTGCTCAGAGTCTGCAGTGAAGCATGCAACTCCTGGCAGGGTGCTCTTAGAGTGGGCATGGGGGTGGGGAGGAGATGGCACCAGACAGAGGAGTCGAGTCAGTTTCCAGAAACATCCCAGAAACATTCCCTAGTGCTGAAAGTAAAGATTTTGCTTCTTGAGATGCCACGTGCCTAGGCTTGGAGGCCCTGGCCATACCCTGCTGAGGGCCACCCCTTAAGAACTAGCAGGGGTTCCTCTGAAATGAACTGGAATTGCATGCCTACTCAAGACCTCTAGTTCTGCCCACCCTTGGCCCCTAAGGACCCAAGAGATGCTTTTCTTGGAAAAGAGATGCGTTGGAATAAGACTCTCTCCTTCTCAGATGCTTCTGTGGGCAGGGGTACCATGAGCCGTGAAAGGATCCAAGTGCGCCCACACTGGCCCCTCCCAGGTCTCTCCTCTGAGGGCTCCAGTGAAGGGAAGCAGCTGAGGGCTGAGGAGGAAACACTGAAAGAGGAGTCCAGAAGCTTGTCTCTGTCCAAGCCTGGGCCCCTAGGAGTGTCACTCCCATCTCTGGCCCTTATCCATCTTCACTGCAATGACCATCTATTGTTTGTGTTTCCCAGATTTCACCCTCCCTCTACTAATAGTCATTTTTCAGGGTTAGTTCTGGGACTTCTGCTAGGACTACTGGGAAAACGGCACCCTCTCTTTCCTAGTAGGATGTCAGCCTGGAGCTGCAGGCAGCCTTTAATCAAGCACGTGGAAGTGCCAACTCAGAGGAATCAGAGCCAAGACACAGAGTCAGATTCTTGACCAAATCCCCAAGTACCTGGATCCAGCTATTCCTGAAGGTGATACTAGAACTTTTCAATTAGATAAGTCAGTAAATTCCTCTGATTAAATATATTTCTAACCAAAAAAGTTCCAATAAGCCATTCCATATGAGGAGTTTGGGCCACAGACTATCCTTATATTGGACAAAGGGGGACTGTGCATTTCATTCTAGTATTTCCCAAACATCCTTTTCCACAAAAGCCATCCTTCTTTGAAACAGCCGTTAATGTGTATTGTTAATGTATATTCTTGACAAGTGCCAGCCAGGGGTCTTGAGGTCCCTTCCAGGTCGGTTGGGTCAGAGTTGTGTAGCCCCCCTCCACCTCCTCTGTGGCTGGCCTGCCTCACAGCCTCTCACAGTTCAGTACTCTGGACTTCAGCTGCTCCCTCAGAGCCTTCTGCCCTGCAGGCCCTGCAAGGGGGCTCCAGTGCCTCCTGTCTGCAGAGCGTCCTTGAGTGTGGGAACTGAACTGGGCTGCAAGCTCCTGGAGAGTGGGACCACATCCCCTCCCTCGGCACTGACCTGGCACACAGCAGGCTCTCAGAACTATAGACTGAAAGCATAAGTGGGCCAGGTGCCCTGGCAAGTCCACAGTGGTGTCTCAGGGACAACCCAGTCCCTCCAGGAGTGCCTCTTCTGGCACCCCTGGTGCCTTGCTCAGGGCTGGGGAAACAGAATGGGCTCAGGATCCATGCCTTTTGTTCACAGACCCTGGGGACTAGGAGTCTCCCACTCTGCAGAGGCCTGCTCCCATACTCCCTGGTGTGGGCACCTTCATCTCAGAATACAAGCAGGGCCTCTTCACAGCTCCCTAAAGCCTAGGGAGGCAACTGACCAAAGGGAGTTGGGCATTGTTGCTTTCCTGGCCTGGGCTGGTAGGGGTCCGTAAGGGCTCCCAGTCATGGTTCTACCCTGCCTCTAGTCAGAGACAGGGCAGCCCCCTCCTGAGCTGCCCTTCTGGAATGGCTGGTGTTCAGGGTGGGTTGGACAGGCTCACCTGCAGGCCTCAGAGATGCTGTCCTTCTTGCCCATTCTCCTATGGCCCTTGCCTGGAAGGTTTGAGTGCTGGTTCTGCCACTGACAGAGCGACCCGGGCAGTCTTGAGCAGACGTGTGGCTCTTCTCAGCGCACAGGCTCAAAAACCTGTGCTCATGAGAGGGTGGGCAGCTGTGTCTGCATTTGTTCTAGACCCACCTGGGCTTGGTGAGTCCACCCCAGTTGAACCATTCTGAACCCTGGGAGGTGAAGGTGTTAAAGGGCACCCAGCCTCCCCTGAGCCTCTTGGAGAAGGTGCAGATACCCCATGGCTCCCACAGCCTGTCCCCCAAGAGCCCCTGCACCTCTGGGTCTGCTTCCTGGAAGACTGGCACCTGGCAGCCAGTGCCAAGGGCACCCACCTCCCAGGACAGAAGAAGAGAGCAGCCTTTTAAAAGGGAGAGAGCTGTGGAGGGAGTGACAGCTAAAGAGTTTGAAGAGGCCCTGCTTGTATTCTGAGATGAAGGTGCCCACACCACGGAGTATGGGAGCAGGCCTCTGCAGAGTGGGAGGCTCCTAGTCCCCAGGGTCTGTGAACAAAAGGCATGGATCCTGAGCCCATTCTGTTTCCCCAGCCCTGAGCAAGGCACCAGGGGTGCCAGAAGAGGCACTCCTGGGGGGACTGGGTTGTCCCTGAGACACCACTGTGGACTTGCCAGGGCACCTTCTTTTTGGAGGGATGAAAATGCTCAAATTGATATGGTGATGGCTGCACAACTTGCAAATGTACTGAGACCTCCCAATCATACACCATACATGGATGAATTGTGTGCTGTGTGGATTAGAGCCAATAGGCTAGTACTAGAGCAGGGGGTGGGGGGCACTTGGAGCAGCAGCTCTGAAATTGCAAGGATTTGGATGCCTGGCTAAGGTTGGAGTGCCCAGCTGAGGGGGTCTGAGGAGGTGGCTTGGGCCTGCTTGCTCAAGGCCTCAGACACTGCTGGGGTGCCCCCCACATGCCTGGGACCTGGGATGAGACACAGGAAGAACCAGAGCCAGGCAGAAACCATGGCAGGTTTACGGCTGCTGTGACCAACGCCCCCAAAACAGACTGTGCCACAGGATGGCCAAATGGGGCCAGGTGTGGGTTTTTTTCTCCAGCCAAGGGGCTGCTCTAGCAGGCTGGTCATTGGGGGAGGGATGGGCAAGCTTCTGAGCTGCTCCCTCAAGCTGCTCCCAAAAGGCCCTGCCCAGAGGAAGCAGGTGGTCAGATCTGGCAGGTCCTGGGACCATCGTAGCTGACTCAACAGAGAGCACACAAAGGAACGGTTCGCATGTTTGTTTATTTATTGTGGAGTTTTTTACATGCAAGAATCCAAACTACAGAGATGACATCTGGAAGGAGAGCCAATGGATGGATGGATGCCCTGGTAGTCCTTCTGAGGACCCTCCAGGACTGGCTCTGCCTGCAGAAAAGTGCAACAGTGACACAACAGCAGACTGGACTGGACAACAAAGTCAACACACTCAACAGCCCCCAACAACCCTGAGAACTCTCACAAGTGCAAACCTCAGGAAATAAATATTTATCCCCCTTCTCCGGGAGAGCCTGGGGGCTCTATACATAAGAGAAGCAGTGTGACTCCCAGAGTGACAGCTGTTCCAGGGGCTAGTGGCTGCAAAGGGAAGCCAGGCATAGACCCCCATGGACAGGAGTTGGAGATGGGCACTGGGAGGTACGGGCACCAAAGGGGGTGCCTTCTGGGAGTGCACACCCTGAGCCATGGGAGAAGCCTGTTGTTCTCCACATAGGCAGACAGGCGAGAAGAGCCCAGGGTCCTAGACAGCAGATGGTGGAGAGGCTGATGGCCGGCTGGCTGAGGCCAGGCTAGGAGCACAGCACTCCTCTGCCATGCTTTTAGCTGGTCACAGCCCTCCTGGAATAATCCAGAAGGCTGCGCTGATGTGCGTGCATGCAGAAGTGCGGGCATGCTGGCAGGAACGAAGAGGAGCAGCAAGAGAGTAGGCAGCAAGTAGCCATCAACCCCATGGTGCTGGAGGGTCTGGGTGCCTGCTGCCGTCGGGCCATCCAGAGCACTTGCCTCCACTCTCCCAGCCAGGGGCCTTGAGTGACAACACAGGCCCACACCTCACCAGGCCCCCTTGCTCTGGACCCTGGGTGAGGAGGGAAAGAGCAATGAGCCAAGGCGTGGTCCGGCAGACAGCACAGTCACTCACACTGAGCGGGCTGACAGGAGACAGGAGCACAGACCAGCGGCCACCTTTTCCTCTGGCCCAGGCCAGCAACAAGCCCTTTCAGCTCTGATAAGCAAGCTAGTCATCTCCCGGCTGGCCCCAGCCAGCCCACTCAGTGCCTGGGGGTCCCGCACAGGGACTGCTCTGGGACAGGCTGGCCAAAGGCCTACCAGCGCCCTGGGTCACACAGGAGGAAATGGTTAGTTTTCACATCTCAGCACACAATGAGCACAGAGAAGGTTAAACACATCCCCAAGAAAATATTTTGACAAAATAAATATTTTAACCTATAATCAGGTATAATTAGTGCTTATAAGGAATCTCAGCAATAATTTAGTATAATTAAGTACATACTGTATCTGTGATTTCTAACACTGTGGAGAGGCTGGTGGCTCTCAAGGGTCTCTCTCCCCCAGAGGTAGGCTCTGGCTGGCTTTCCTGCCAGGGCCTCAGCCCCTTCCCTAAGCAGGTGGCCCTGGATGGAGGGGAGCCAGCATCACATGGCCCACGGTACCTACGGCCTCTGGACAGGAAGGGCTAAGCAGCAGCCCCTCAAGGGCACCAGGGCCTGTACTGACTTCAGCAAGTGCCCCCTGAAGCCTCCAGTTAGGGGTGGACTGCTTCTGGACATGATCTATGAACAGGAGGAATGGCTCTGGGCTGGGAAGGCAGGTGGCACTTTCATGTATGGCCAATGCCTTCCTGCCAGCCCACAGAAGTCCATACCACCTGCTGCCCAGAGGCAGCCAGGACTCTCCAAGCCATGCTTGGAGCTGGGGGCTGCTCTGGACCATGGGTATTAAGAGCAGCTTTGCTGGGGTCTCTCCAGGCAGGCACCATGCCTCAGCTTCACTCACTGCCGGAAGCCTCCTCTCCCCTTACACCCTTCAAGCTCCTGGTCTTGTGAGGACTTCCCCCTCTGCCAGGCAGGGAGGCTGGCTCTCCCCTCCGAGGACTCTGGGCCCAGATGTGGTGCTGTGGCTCCTACGGGGATGACGACCCGAGGCCCTTCTGCCCACTATGCAAGCCCAGCTCTGGCAGGTTGGCAAAGGCAGGCCCCTGGGCCCCACAGAGACATGCCCTCTAGACTGCACCAAGGGGCTGAGGATACTAGCTGGGGTCACTGGGTATACCTGAGCCATCCCAGCCACCTTCTCTGCAGCTTGTGTCAAGCCAGCTGACCTCAGACATCTTAATGTCCAGGCTGCCTCAGAGGGTTCTGCCCTTGGGAATGTAGCGAAGAGAAGTGTGGGCTGACCAAGGGTTGGGGGGAGAGTGGAGGCCTGACATGCGCTGCTGACAGGCAGGGCTGGAGTCAGGCTGGCCAGTCTCGAGGCGCTTCCTGGGTGTCCTCTGAGGAGCAGACTGTGACATCCCCAGCAGGGTCGGCCAGAGGGGACCCCGGCCAGAGCCCAGGCCTCCTGTCTGGAGGAAGCTGTGGTGGAGCTGGACTAGAGAGGGGGTTCTGGGGTGCAGACTGCCTTATTCTCCATCAGAACCATTCCTGTCAGGGCTCAGCATGGCCCTTGGCTCCAGTCCTGCTTACGCTGCCATGTGGGAAGGGCTGACTACACCATGGGGTGGTGGCCTGGCCAAGTTTTGCCCCTGACACCTGGGCACCATGTGCTGGCATACTGACCCAGGCCCCAGAGCCCCATGGGCTTCTGTGAAGCAGCTGCAGCATTTTCTTCTGGGCAACAGCAGCCCAGGGGTAGGTCAGGCTGCCAAGCCCTAGCAAGTTCCTTGCCCACAGCCAGGAGACACACCAGGGAGAACCCAGGATGGGACCAGGTGTCACCAGTCCCTAGATGCTCAGCCTCAGGCTGTTAGCCCTCTAGGCTGGCTTGGAGAGAGTATACACCTCAGTGGCCTGGGGGATCTGGGGTGGGAGAAGGTCAAGCTGTTAGGACAGTCTGCAGAGGAGGCTGGGGCCCATGCTGAGGAGCAGTGCAGGGGTCTTAGTGTCACTCTGGCCTCTCAATCATTTGGATCTCCAAGCATGGTGCAAAGCCATCTACTGCTAGGCTCTGGAGGTAGAGGCATAGAAGCTGCCATGGGCCAGGCCAAAGCTGCAAGCATAGCTTACAAACCCGCAAAACTTTCCCAAGCAAGCCAGAGCATTCTTCCCAGTACAGGCCCTCCACAAGTTTGCTTTATGGCAGTGTTACCCAGCAGGCACTAACCAGCATGTTAATGTGGCCACTCATGGGCTGTGTGCTGCCCTCCCATCGGCCCTTGGTACTTTCTCCTCACACCAGAAGTGTGTGGGTCCATCAGGGACCCCTTGGCTCCAGGCTCAGCTGCTGAGCCAGCTCCGGTGTAGACTGGGCTAGCAGCTGAGTGATGGAGACGGTCCAGAAGATCAACAACCCCTATATGGGCACCCCACAAAGCCTTCTGAAGTGCTGAGCATGCCAAGTGCCACAAGGGGACGTGTGTCAGGGAGCAGCATTCCAGGAAGAGAGACCAAGCCCACAGGTGCAGACAAGCTCTTTCTAGAACATAGGGGCATGGGAGGGCAGGCTGGTCGGACGAGACCTGCTGAATCAGGCAGGGGCATGTAGGGGAAGGAAGGGACTCGGGTAATAGTCCTAAGAGGACTGCCCTGCCTAGGAGGAAACATGGGTAGAGGGAGCCTGTAGGCAGTAGGGGGTGGAAGAATGGGGGTGAGGGGCCTCTGGCTGCAGTAAAGCTGTCCTCCCTCCCAGAGAGAAGGTGGCTAAAGCTGGCCCTTACTCATGGGAGGCCTGGGAGCAAACACAGTGGTGTTTCCATGGAGACACAGCAGCACAGGACCAAGTGGGGACACGGGATGAGACACAGCAGCACAGGACCAAGTGGGGACAGGGGATGAGAAGAGTGGCCAGTGCCTGGTGTGGATGGGGGAACAAGAGGTGGCCTGCCCTCTGGGGAGCCAAGCTGCAGAACAGCTCACAGGGCGAAGAGGACATCTTCTGACTGCTCTGGCTTCTTCCTGCTGGAGGGATTTGAGGCTGGGGCTGGGTCCTCCGCTGGGGGTGAAGGGAGGTTAGGAACCATTTCAGCAGCTTTAGCTCTTTCTTCAAGGAATTTATCAAACTCTGAAATACAAAACCAAGGCAAGGGCTGGGACTGGTAGGGGTCTAGGCCCTCGCTGGGGCTCGGCCAACCACATCCCAAGTGCTCCCCAGCAAGCCCCACTCCCTTGTGCCCACAGGGGTCACCCCAACGTGAGTCTCCACCCCTGCCACACTGGCCTGGGCTGCCTGCCAGTTAGGGAGGCAGGGAGTGGCAAGGGAAGAGCCAGCCTAAGCCAGGGGTGCTTCTGGGTACTCTGCCGCCTAGGGACCCAGCCTTGATGCCTCCTCTGCTACCTCCTGGGTGAGCAGGATGCCTGCTACAAGCTTATGATTCCTGCCCCATCACCAGCTTGGAGCTCTTCCATTTTCCAGATTCAGATCCATTTCTAGATCTCCAGTGACAGGACACGTAGAGCTGAAGAGGCGAGTCCCTACTTAAACCTGGCAGCGAACATCTCCCCTACCCAACCCTCACCCACCAAGCAAGGTTCTATACCTGTGGAGGGGGGCCTGACCAGACAGCCTGGCAGAGCAGAAAGGGGGTGGGGGTGGGACACAGGGGAGGTTGGGGGAGATAAGAAGGGAGGGGCTCAGAGGCGTAAGAGAGGGAGGCGTTGGGGGTCCCATGACTGGAACTTCCCCACTGGTCCCATCAGCTGGTCCCCAGAAGCCAGGTCACAGGGCGCCAGGCACGGGAGGTTTCCTGTGAGCCCATTGGCTACAGGGCATGTGTCTTGCCTCTCAGCTGGATCGAGCATCCAGCGCTGGCAGCAAACTGGCTAGGAGTGCAGGTTTTGAGGTAATGCTGACCTGGGTTGGCAATCTGTGCCTACTACTCACCAGCTCTGTGACCTTTTGAAATGCACATGCTCTGACACTTCCCTCGGCAGCACCAAGCCCAGATGGGACAGCAGAGGAGCCCTAGCCCAGGCTGGGCACCAAGAGGTGCTCTGGCAGTGGAGGCTCCAAGGTGGGGGTGGGGGAGTGCCAGCCCCTGTGCACCCCCAGAGCCTAGGGCAGGAGCAGCAAACGGCAGGGGGTGGGGGCTGTAAAGCTGCTAGCTAGGTCATACCTTCACTCGTGACACCCTCCTCCAGGTCATCGCCCTTCTGTGGGAGGAGCAGAGAGCAGCATTAGGACCCACCTGCCCTGCCACCTCTCCCCACCAGCAGCCAGCCCAGGGTGGCACTGCCCGAGCAAAACTTCTTACTTCCTGTTTCCAGAGTTCCATAATTGCAAAGTCCCTCTCCTCTTATTGGAGAAAGAGAAACATTGTTTTTAAAAAGTCAAAACAAAAGCAAAAAACTGAGTAGGTTCTGGATCTCGATCCCCCAGAAGGGCCAAAAAGAAAAATTAAAAAAAAAGTGTGGGCTGGTTCTCTGGGCTGAGCTGGTGCGGGGCAGGACCACAGTAGGCCTCTGCCCACCCATCAGCACTCTTCCAGAGTCGGGCCACAAGGAGGCTGGGTCAGAGGCACACTCAGTATCCCTCCAAGGCCAGCTGCAGGGTTCTGAGAAATCACTGTCCATGCAGACTGGGACCCACATGACACCTGAGCCATGAAGCCACAGCCCAGGGCCTGACAGCAGGCACCACTCGGCTGTCCAGCCGGAAGTCATGTCCCTTGGCATCCTAGGAGCGGCACCAGACTCCTCCTGTAGCCCAGATTCCATCACCTGCTGCCAGCTCCTAAGGAGCCATGGAGGCTATGTGAACTCTTAACAATAGGAGTGGATCAGACCTGATTTTGTTTGAAGAACATGGTAGTCACTGGGAATTCACTGCACAGACTGTGATAGGGAAGGGAACCACGTGAGGATGTGGATGAGGCCCTAGGCTGAGCAGGGAGATCTGGCTTCCTTCTGGGTTCTGCCACTGACCTGCCACTTAGCCCTGCTGGACAGGTCCCTCCCCCTTTTCTGGACCTTGGGGTCCCACTTGTGAGATGAGGGCCTAGGCCCTTTGGCCCTTCCTGCTTTGCTTCTCTGAGGGGAGATATTTCTTTTCCAGGCATTCCACTGGGAGAAGTATAATGGGGCATTTCCTGGGGGCTGCTTCGTAGAGTTAGGAGGAGGGTTTTAGAAGACCCTAGAAAGAAGGGTGACTGACTTCCTTGAGGGCCGGAAGAACTCCCTGGTTCATTGCTATAGACTTCACAGAAACAGAAAAAAAATCCAAAAATTTGCACAGAACTACAAAAGACTCTGGGACAAGTATAATGGGCATTTCCTGGGGGCTGCCTCGCTAGGCAGCATCTTCAGAAAGCCTGGCCTTCTGGGGAGATGGCCCAGAGTCCTGGGAGGCCCTGTCTGAGATCTGCTCTCCTAGGTGGGAGGAGGCCAAGTCAGCAGTCCACCACCAGCCAGGCCAGGCCGACCCTGAGGTTAAAGAACTGCTCTGCTCCAGGGGCAGGGACGAGGCGGCAGCTAGGAGCAAGAGATGATGTGCTTCCAGGTCTAGGGGAGCACCCCACCAGCCCACTGCCCCTCCCAGAGTGCATTTCCTCATCAGCCCCCCGAGCACAGCCCCCATCTGCTCATGCACTGGCTGCTACAAGTGCTTTGTAAGGACCAGAGGGAGGGACCAGCTGCAGCAGACTCTCCCTTCTCAGGATCTGCTGCCCTCACCTTCCTGCCCCACCTCTAGGGATAAAAACAATGGTCTGTGGGGCAGGGTTTTTTAAAATCCAAAATACCAGAAGGGAGATGACAGTGAATTTTAAAAAACAAGTATGTGACTCAGCTCTGTATATTTCACAATTAAAACAAAGAAGAAAAGAAATGAAAAGCAAAAAACAAAAACAAAAACAAAAGCCAACCAAAACAAAACAAACAAAAAAAGAACCCAAGCCCACACACCTGAAACTGAACAGGAGGTGTGAGTTTTGGAGCCCAAGCCCAGGCAGCAGAGCCGGGCAGTGGGGACCAGGGCGCCGTGCCTGCGGGCAGCGGGCTGCGGGGGAAGGCGAGCCAGAGGGGCAGGGGCCACAGGGGCCGCACCTGCCGGCCTCCCTCCTCCACAGCCAGTGGGGAAGCGGGGCCCTTGCAGGTGTCCCCAGGCCTGTCCTCAGAAGCACCTCTGCCTCGCCACACCCCACACGTGAAATAGAAAAGTCGTGTCTCACCAGGTCCATCCTGAGCCACACCTCAATGTCGTCCATAACAGAGGGCTGCGCAACGGGGATCTATGGAGGCGGCAAGCAGCGGGCCGGGCAGCCCCACAGCCAGGCGAGGGAAGACAGAACACCGGACAAAGTAAATCGTCAAAAGCAACCCCCAAAAGAAACCAAAATGTACACAGAGCAAAAAAACACATTGGCACAGCAGGCACAGGCAACACGAGGCAGCCACATATGAGATGGCAGGTGAGGAAAGCAATGAGGGGCTGCTTCTAAGGAATAGGACTGACCAGCAGGTGCCAGGTGGGTGAGGGGGGAGGCAGTACGTTCTTGAAATGGTGTCTTTTTGACTAGCTCGGCAGCACCCCCTCACACCAAGGGTCTCTCAACCCTGGGGGCTGCAAAGCACCTTCTAATCTCAGGAATGCGCTGGGCTGGTCCTGCAGGCCGATTCTGAATTTGATCAGTTTGGGACCCCTGCATGTGCCTCAAGGAACCACCAATGAGCCCCTGATGGCACTGAGGAGGCCAAGTGACAGTCTGCCCAGAGTCGTGGTGCAGGCGGCCCTGGGACCTGTCAGGGCTCTGTTTGCTCACTGAAAGTATTTCAAAATGTGTCCTGGTGCATTTGAGTTGGGGGAGGGAGCACCGGGGCCCAGGTGTATCCTGGATGACAGGAGGCAGGCCTTTTTCACCACCAAAAGAAACACAGCAAAAAAATGAGGACTTTGAAGACAAAAGGGACCATAGGCCTTTAGTTTTCTTTGTGTCTCTTCAGGGGAAAAATCAGGAAGCAGTCCTGAATGCAAGACTACCTTTAGTCTCTGCTTTCTTCCCAGCCTTCAATGGCTGTCGGTGCTGCAGTGGTCAAAGAAGGGAGGCTCCATGAGAGCTGGGAGCAGCCGCTGGGGGCCAGGGGGTGTCTGGGCTCCTTCAGGGGCACCTGAGCAGTCTCCATGCCTGTCACCCATGCCGAGGGCCTGGGGGCAGTGATTCTGAAAAGTGCATTTGGCTGGAAAGACTTCAGTTGCTGTCAGACTGTGGTAAGATGTGATAAGAAGTAAAGGTAACCTTTAACCCCCTAGAAGCCACAAGAATAAAATGTTGGCTCTGAGCCTAGAGAAATGAGTTGGCTGCCCTGAATTGAGGTGGCCTGCCTCCCCACCTAGCCTGGGTCTGGGAAGTACCTCCCATGGGTTCACTCAGAAGGCCACTATTGGTAAAAAAAATCGCCAGCATTGCATCTATATAGCTGGCTTCACCTCAATGTCACAAATCTAGGTAAGAATAAAGTTAAAATAAGCAGGAAGAGGATTGCCTTAGTGTTTGCCAGACCTAAAAATAACATGACCTTAACAAAAGAAAAAATAAAGATTTCATAACACCAGCGCTGCCATGTGACAAGCCAACCCTGGAGGTAGAAATCTGCCACTGATGGGCTTGGGATGCATAGTAGAGGGCTTCTAAGCCCACCAAGCATGCTGAGCAGGTGTCTTGGAGTCTCCGCAGCTCTGCGCACACTGCCTCGGCGAGCCCAGCAGACCCCCCACCCGGGTCTGGCTGGCTGGAGTAGCTTTGCTTGTACTGTGCTTACCTATGGACCCAGTGTGGGCAATCCACACACATTTTCATAAAAGTTCAAGCCAACCTTGATCAGATTAGGAAGATTCTGCTGACACTGCCATTCTCCTTCTTTGATTTACTGGAAACTTAAGAATATTGAAAATAAAAATATCAAGGAGCTCAAATCACCTGAAGTGACTCCTGGGGACCAAGAACACACAAATCTCACTCTGGAGGACACACATGCTGCACTCCAGTGGACACACACTCACAGCCCCTGAGGCGGCACCTGCTCTCCCCATCAGAAGCAAGCAGTGGGACACTCAGGGTGCAATCTGCTAACCTTACATTTGCTGGCTCAACTTCCGCCTGGACACATTCCTGTGATCTGCATCGTCTTGATGCTTGTAAGACAGAATGCCCGGCCTCTGGGAGGTGTGTGCCTCACCAAGTTCGCAGAGCTGGAGCTGGACAGCTAGTCGCATCTCCAGAGAAAGCATGCCCAAGAGCAGCTGCCAGAGTGTGCCCTGGGTTTTGACATCTACCAGCTTCAGCCTACCTAGGAGAAAGGCAGCTTCGACAGGCTGAGCTTTCCAACATGCCGAAAATGCTTGGAAAAGCCATTAAGGAGTCATGGGCCTTAAACCTCTGGATTTTGCTTATAATTTTTTCTGTTACTGTTCAAAAACAAGTCCCCAAGGCCAAGGATCATGCTCCATTTTCTTTGAGGATTAATCTTGAGAGATAAAACACTCAGAAAACAAACAATGACACTTGAGAAACTCCTCACCCCTGCAAAATAAAATTCCTCCAAAGCTGGATTATGGCAACATTTTCCTTCCTTCTAGATTTCTCCAAATCATTAACCAAGGAGATGCTAAACCCAAGGCACATCATAGCCCACACTCCCTTAGGGATCAGCCCTCCTTTGATGGGTAAGAACACTGAGGCCTCCCAGGGGCCTGATGACATGCCCAAAGCCACGGGGCAGGGACAGAGTCCAGGGCCCTCTCCTCCAGGTGAGCCTGGGAGCCAGGAGCACCAGGAGAGGGGTTGGGCAGGGCTTGTCTGGGCCCCAGTGCTCACTGGCAGGGCCCGGAGGGACAGTCGCTTCTTCATGCACGAGCTCCCAGGCCTCTGCTATCCTAAGAAGCCTCAGAGTTCTGGGGGGACAGGCAGAGCAGGGGTAGGGCCTTGGCTCCCTCACCTGTGACACAGGGTGACGGCTAGGTCATACTTAGTTCTCACCACTCAGGACTTGGAATCCTTTAACTTTCTCATTGGTGTTTCTGCTAATTCAGAGACCAGGGATGTCAGAAATGATTGGAATTGACTCTTTACAGTACAAAAGACATTGGCCTCAGAGCAAGAATCATGCCGAGCTTGGGTGTGGGCTAACAGTAACGATCACAGAAGTCAGGCAGGGGGGGACTTGCTTGAGGTTGGACACAGATCTTAGCTGTTTAACTTCCTGCCTGTCAGCTGTGCCTTGAGTAGGACCCCGGGTGAAGTTCCCTCTCATGATGTGGGTGCTATCAGACACTGACCAAACAGAGACACTGATACACAAACAAGGACTCAGGAGTCTGTGAAGAGGAAGAGGCAGCTCTCCTGTGCAGGCTAAGGGAGGGAAGAGAGGCCCTGACCCTGCCTAGCGCAGGCAGCCCTGGACTCTGTCCCTGCCCCACGGTTTTGGGCAGGCCAGCGGGCCCCTGGGAGGCCTGCATTCTCACCCATCAGAGGAGAGCCCCAAGGGGCTGTGGGCTCTGACCTGCCATGGTTGCAGCTTCTCCTTGGGCGACGAGCCCAGATGAAGGTCAAGCCAACCTTGATCAGATTAGGAAGATTCTGCTGACACTGCCATTCTCCTTCTTTGATTTACTGGAAACTTAAGAATATTGAAAATAAAAATATCAAGGAGCTCAAATCACCTGAAGTGACTCCTGGGGACCAAGAACACACAAATCTCACTCTGGAGGACACACATGCTGCACTCCAGTGGACACACACTCACAGCCCCTGAGGCGGCACCTGCTCTCCCCATCAGAAGCAAGCAGTGGGACACTCAGGGTGCAATCTGCTAACCTTACATTTGCTGGCTCAACTTCCGCCTGGACACATTCCTGTGATCTGCATCGTCTTGATGCTTGTAAGACAGAATGCCTGGCCTCTGGGAGGTGTGTGCCTCACCAAGTTCGCAGAGCTGGAGCTGGACAGCTAGTCGCATCTCCAGAGAAAGCATGCCCAAGAGCAGCTGCCAGAGTGTGCCCTGGGTTTTGACATCTACCAGCTTCAGCCTACCTAGGAGAAAGGCAGCTTCGACAGGCTGAGCTTTCCAACATGCCGAAAATGCTTGGAAAAGCCATTAAGGAGTCATGGGCCTTAAACCTCTGGATTTTGCTTATAATTTTTTCTGTTACTGTTCAAAAACAAGTCCCCAAGGCCAAGGATCATGCTCCATTTTCTTTGAGGATTAATCTTGAGAGATAAAACACTCAGAAAACAAACAATGACACTTGAGAAACTCCTCACCCCTGCAAAATAAAATTCCTCCAAAGCTGGATTATGGCAACATTTTCCTTCCTTCTAGATTTCTCCAAATCATTAACCAAGGAGATGCTAAACCCAAGGCACATCATAGCCCACACTCCCTTAGGGATCAGCCCTCCTTTGATGGGTAAGAACACTGAGGCCTCCCAGGGGCCTGATGACATGCCCAAAGCCACGGGGCAGGGACAGAGTCCAGGGCCCTCTCCTCCAGGTGAGCCTGGGAGCCAGGAGCACCAGGAGAGGGGTTGGGCAGGGCTTGTCTGGGCCCCAGTGCTCACTGGCAGGGCCCGGAGGGACAGTCGCTTCTTCATGCACGAGCTCCCAGGCCTCTGCTATCCTAAGAAGCCTCAGAGTTCTGGGGGGACAGGCAGAGCAGGGGTAGGGCCTTGGCTCCCTCACCTGTGACACAGGGTGACGGCTAGGTCATACTTAGTTCTCACCACTCAGGACTTGGAATCCTTTAACTTTCTCATTGGTGTTTCTGCTAATTCAGAGACCAGGGATGTCAGAAATGATTGGAATTGACTCTTTACAGTACAAAAGACATTGGCCTCAGAGCAAGAATCATGCCGAGCTTGGGTGTGGGCTAACAGTAACGATCACAGAAGTCAGGCAGGGGGGGACTTGCTTGAGGTTGGACACAGATCTTAGCTGTTTAACTTCCTGCCTGTCAGCTGTGCCTTGAGTAGGACCCCGGGTGAAGTTCCCTCTCATGATGTGGGTGCTATCAGACACTGACCAAACAGGGACACTGATACACAAACAAGGACTCAGGAGTCTGTGAAGAGGAAGAGGCAGCTCTCCTGTGCAGGCTAAGGGAGGGAAGAGAGGCCCTGACCCTGCCTAGCGCAGGCAGCCCTGGACTCTGTCCCTGCCCCACGGTTTTGGGCAGGCCAGCGGGCCCCTGGGAGGCCTGCATTCTCACCCATCAGAGGAGAGCCCCAAGGGGCTGT